ACTATTAGTAGTATTCATATCAGTGCTAGAAATATGCCAGGAATATCCAGAATGTATGGAGACCAATGGTAGATGTGACAAAGGACATGTCATGGATCTGCTTTCTGCAGTACATGCTGGTGAGAGCCTGAGGTGGTTCAGGATCCTGTCCTGCACCAAGCTCCATATACTCAACTGTTTACACCGTGAGAATGTTTCTCTCACATATTCTAACCTCCTGATATTTATTTTCTCACGGACGTGGATTTTTTTATATTTATCTATTTTGGGAGCAGTGAATTTGTGACCATCAGCTCAGACCACGGGAAATCCGATCGGGCAGGTTGAAGACCAGCCAGTTGAGTGCCCTAATTAACAGGAACATGTAATTAAAATTTAAGCAGATGTGGCTTGGGCAGGTGGTATTTCCTGAACGCATTTAGTTTCCTGTGCGTCCACACTCTGTGTGATGGATACAAACAAATTCTCCTCCTGCCACTGTGGAAAACACGGCTGCATGTGCTGAGCAGTTGGTCTGTGCGGGTGCTGTGCACTCACCCAGCGCCACTGAAACTGCCACAGCTCGGCTCTTAATGGCCTGAAACGAGCTCTGAAATCCTCAACATATGTAAGCATTTTTAAAACTCAGCCTGAACAAAGTTTGTGGGTAGGAAAAAAAGACATATGCATGGGAGGCTATAAATATAATAACCCCATATGATGTGTTTCTTGCATTCTTTTGTGATTGTCTGCTACCAGCTGCTGTTGGGAGCATCATATTAGACGAGATAACACTTTGATCTGGTGTAGCTTTACAAAATATGTGAATTCGTTGCGGCTCACAAAATTTGAAAACCACTACTCAGCTGAAAAATGGACCAATAAAAATTCCAAAATCACATTTGTTTTTAGTTCTTATCTAAAATTCCAAAAATTGCTTTATCAACAATTTCAGTGAACTGGAAGGAAATAAAGAGTAAAAATTTACGATCGGAATCTGGGAATAAGGCACTTAGGTAGACTTCTAGCTCTGAAAAACTGTAATTCAGAAGATATTTTTTTTAAAAAAAATAGGCTATGAAGTGTAGGCCATTTCACCGTGCTCATTTCAGTACAGACATCAAATCTGTAAAGAAAAAAAAAACCTACAAACAACCCACACTTGAAGTTCTTCATATTTGAGGGGAAGTTTTGTCCCTGTAGATTGTTAAGATTGAATCTGTAGAATCCTGCTGCAATTTTAGATTTGTTTTGTGGGGGGGTTATAGCAATTTAATAGGATTATCTGAGAAGTAATTATGTCATGGAGTTAAATTATTCCATTTTTAGGTTGTTAGAGTGACCTGTTGTAACTTTTCAGTATCTGTTGAGTGGTGTTTTGCAGTGTCCCAGTGTATCACCAGCAATGAGCAGCAAGCTTTTGCAGTACCTTGTTCTCTCCTTTAGCAAGCTGTGTCAAAAAGTGCTGTTGTAGCAAACGACTTTCCATTAAGCCACGGCAGGTCCATGATCCCCATGGTTATCAAATTAAAACTGAAATTTGTGTATTTTGTGTGCATGTTCATTTATCTTTTATAATTGTCTGTTAATGAATGGCCTTTTGAAGCTTCAGAGGCTGCAGAACACCTGGCTTTATTTCATGTGTATCTTGGTCTTATTTCAAGTTTAGGACTTTGAATCTTCAACAGTGGTGGTCTCCTCCTCCTCACTGGACAGGACATTTAACTGATCAGGCTGTAAAGTACAAGTGAGATTTCTTATTTACACAAGAATTCTAATCATGTGTCTTCATAAACATTTTTTTGATCTTGTTGTCATTTCAGAGTGGGAAAACTTTACCTTGTTCATTTGAAGTAGGGTTGTGCCTTCTGAGTTTTAAGTTCAATTTTATCTGTTTATCAGTTCAAGAACTGAACATATTTGAGATGGAGCAGAATGCTCATAAAACAAATTTATGTCCTGTTCTGACGTACATTAGTTCAATATCTGATCTGCATTAGAAAGTAAAGGCCAGTAATTTTTGGAAATCTCTTTGAGAGCATCCTTTAAGGGCACAGTAGTATTCAGACTGTTATTGTTATATTTATTAGTGTTGATTCGAACTCGAGAACAAATCAAGTCTGTGGTGGCTCCACTTTACTAGATTATATAGATTTACAGCAACTGAGATGTACTCATTAGCTTTGTGGTTATTCCCATTGAATGAACCTGAAAAAAAACCTGAATAAAGTAGCTTTTTAAATGTGAGCAAGGGAATCAAAAATTTGGCTGAAGTTATTAAAGGCAGTATTGTAAGTGGAAATTGGCAATCACATTGCTATTGATTCCTACTGAGAGTGCAACCGCCTGCAGAGCTGAGAAACATCCTCATCCCAAGGGCCTCCTTCCCTCCACTGCTTAAATCTTACTGCTGTGAGTCTCTGAGGCCTGGAAGTCTTAGGAAGTAAGTTAATTGAGAATTTGTAGAGAAGGACTAAGAAGTGCATGTGAAGTGTTGGGATTTTTGCAGGCTGAACTGCCAAACTTTGCACTTTTCCAAATTTGGCTGGGTTTAGGAAATACTGGTTTTGGATATTATGCATGGTACACAATTAGTATGTGAAAAAATAATGGGTTAGATTACCTCTGACTTTAAGTTCATACAGTCAGCATCAAAGGCAAATGCAAGTTAGGGATTATAATAAATCTGGAAAAAAATCTTTCTGGTGCTGTTCATAAGGTTTATTACAGTATTCTAATATGTGCTGATTTATTGTAATATAATGTGTGCTTATAATTTGAAATTTGATTTTAACATGCTTTAAAGATGTTATCGAGTAAGTAGTGAGTGTGCTCATTTCTGTAACTTAATCAGATATGTTGTCACAAAAGTTTCAAATACATTCTTATTTAATTATGAAGAGGAAAGTAATTTTTCTTCTATTACTAAGGGAACAATTTGCTTATTCCTCTCTTAATGCTTAATTCCTTTTATTGCAACTCAGTACTTCTTCTTGCAATATGCCATAACCTTATTGGCCTAGGATAAATTTCTTTAATTATTAATTCTATTAATGCTTCTATCACCTGAGGGAAATGCAGATATTCTGTTAATGATTGTGTTAATCAAACAGCTTTCTGTATTTCTGCACTGCCCAAGTTTATGTCATTACATTAACAGGCACAGGAGATGAAATTGGAAACTTGTAATATACTGCAGATTGGATTAACTCATCTGTTTGGTGTAGACTGCTCGAAGACTTATTTTAGATAATTTAAAAAGATTAAATCTGTAAGACAGTTATTCTTCCTGACAGGATCCCTGAAGTCTTCAACTTAAGTCCAGTGTTCTTGTAAAGATTTTAAACTTTGCTCCAACTGGGTTATTCACATACAGTGTGGCCTGGGATACAATATATTGCTTTGAGCAAATATTTTAAAAAAACCCCAAACCTAACTTCTTTGTATAAATATATGTATATTTTTAAAAAACCTTCGGACGTTGGAATAATTATTTTGCCTGTGTAGTGTGATAATGGACATTAGACATTTGAATGTAGTACACCATTTTTGAGCCCTTTCTACGTGTAATAGGTGTCATAACTTCCCTTTCTACCTTTTTTAAGAGTTTGATGTTATCTAGGCAGTAAATGTTGATTTTTATTTTTTTTAAAGGTCTGTTCAACCACAAGATAGTTTTGTTGAGGTGACGAAGGGAGTCTTTGTGATTGACTTCTGTCCTGGGGTTAGTGCAGACCCTTCTGGAAGTAGTGCTGGTACCTGTAGCCAGGAGTATCTCACATGCAGCATTGCAGGGGTACCACAGCACTTGGTGGGATTCTCAAATACCTATTGCTTGCTTAAAAAGACTGTACATTATTCACCCTTTTTTTTCATGTGTGCAAGACAACCAGGGTATTTTTTTACGTTCTACTAAGACCTAAGACCTTAAAGCAGCTAAATTTAATTGGCCTTTTTGTGAAGAGATGATTGAGGACAAGAGTTTCAGGCAGTGTCAGTATCTCTGTGCTTGGAAATCAATACCTCTGTGATCCTTAATCTTCTTTCTCAGTCCTGAGAGCTTCATAGAAACACACACACACACACACAAAATATCCTTAGAAAATTCAGCAAATATTCCATAAGCTTTTTGTGCTGTGTTTTGATAGTGCTTTTTATTTGAATGATAATGCATTTTTTTACTGTCCTGCTTTACTTTAATGACTGCTTGCCTATACAAGTAGGGAAAACCTTTACCTGTCCCTTCAGCATGCCTGTCCCCTAAAGTTATCATGAAAATAGTTTCAGCATCTCGAATCTTTTGGTGTTTGCTGGGGAGGAGGGTGGTCCTTTGGTGCCCTCATCCTGTGGCCCATCTGGCACCCAGTGTTGAACTCTGATGCAAACCTGGTGATACACACTCAGACCAACCTGTCTGAATCCTCAGTTGACCTGTCAATAGATAATTTCCAGGTTTGTCTCTGTGCTTGCCAAGGTGGTTGCTCAGCTAATCCTGTAGTGCAGGTAGGAAATCTCAGGAGGACACCCTGACAGTGAGCACAATATTTGGGGGAATAGTTGCATTCTGCTTAGTAAATTTCCTTTGCTTGTTGAATTAAAACCAAACATATAATTACAACTAATTTTCAGCATCATGCCCTCCCTGAAGTCCCTGAAATGTGACTTCAGATTGTGTACTTCCTACTTAAAAGTTGATTAAATTGATGCTCTATCAGAAATTTGATCAGTGCCACATATATGAATTTCAAAATAGTTATGTGATAATTTCTGTAGAATCCTTTATTTCAATTGAATGTTTTTCCTATTTTTTTTTAAATTTTATTTCTCAAAAAGCAGTTGCTTTTGTCTTGTAGTTGGTAAGAAATTATTTGCAAAGGAATGAAGGGTAGTTGGGTTTTTTTTCACATTTGATGATAGATTATGAATAAAATTATGCACTGATGCCTACTAAGGTACAAATGTTATTGTGGGAAAGAAACTAAACCTGTGTTTCCTTGTGTGTTGTTTTGGGTTTTTTCTAGAGACTTGTTACAGTTCCCTAGGGAAGATGATGTAGACATTGCAATGAAAATTCTGGTTCAGTGGCGTTCCCAAGGCCTGGAAGATGTCCGGCTGGTGAATTACTCTGTTCTGCTTGACCTACCAGGCTCTTCTTCAAACACAGTAACTCTGAAAAGCAGTGGTGAATGCTTTTATCCGAGTGGACAGCAGTGCAGCAGAGACCCCACAACACTTCATAGCCAAGACCTCCTGTACTCATATGCAGCTTACTCTGCCAAAGGAACTCTTGAGGTAATGTGACCATTTGTCTCTGTCATTTGTGGTGAAATAGAGTTAGAAAACATCAGCTTTTGTTGAACTTGACTGGAAAATGGCACATAGGATCATAGAAGCATTTAGGTAGGAAAAGCCCTGTAAGATCATCAAATCCAGTCATTAACATGGTGAAATGCCCAGCCTATTTTAAAATAAGCACATTTGCATAAAATATGATGTGGCCAATCTTATTTAATCTTACAATCTTAAGTCAAATTTATAAACTACTCAGACCTGAACACTTCATATGATATATAAATATATATGTATAAAAAATTAATTTTTTTAAGTATCTGTGTTTATAAATTGTCTTGGGTATAACACTCTGAAAGCTGTGTCTAGAGCTACACTTCATCTTGCTGATGTATGAGTGCTGCTGGTTTGAGGGATGCCTGTAGGAAGGGCATGTAGGATGAGGCTTTCTGCACTAAGGCAGGTGGGAGTGCTGGGCTAATACCTGGAGCTCCTGAATTACGGGCATGGATCTCACATACTTTCTTTTATGACAACTCAGTTGACACATCTGCTCTGTTTCCTCTTGAAAACCCCAATTTGTAGTTTCATTGTACTGTAGCTTTTGTTGGGAAGTTTTGTCAGCGAAAAGATCCTGCCTATTGGGATTTGTTACATGCCAAGTGAAATAAGATCTTGGATTATCTTCTTTTATCCTGTTTACTGTCTTCACTGCCTGCCTTCCTTTGGATCCTTTCCAAGTACATTGGGGGTGCACAAAAGGATCATAATTTCTGTTTGCTTTCCTAGCTGAGATAGTATAAATCTCAATAAATATTTCTGAAATATAAAAATTGCAATTTCTCTACTAATTGCATTATTGTTGTCTTTCTCCTTTTTACAATATTGTATGTTATTCCAGTGTTGCAGGAGGTTTTACATCTTGCCTTCTTTTTGTTTAAAATGCATGTTTGTTTTCATGACTTAGAACACAATTACACCACATAGGAATAGATTTTGAATTGCTTTGGATTTGGAGGAACCTATTCCAAAATAACTTTATTCTTTGTGAATATCTTATTATTTAAAATTATCAATTACTTCATTTCTAACATAAAAATACAACTATCATGTATTTTCCTCTTGCTTGTGGCAGTGTCTGCCCATAGGGTTTATTGATAACATGTAAAATGATGTGGAACTCTTGCAATAACTCAAAATGGGGAAAGCTGCACAATGCTAACTAAGCCATTGTATAGAGTATTAATCTAATTTTGAATTTTTGACTGTAGGGAATACGAGGACTGGGTAGAAAGTTTCTCGTCTTGAAGTCAGCAAGCTTCAGCTTCTTTTTCTTAAAAGCATTGAAGCTTTTTAGTCCTAGAGAGGAGCAGGAATGGAGTTCTTCTTTGGGAGAAAAACTTCTCTCCATCTCCTGTTTTTGTGTACTAACCATGCCTGCTTTCCATACTGAGTCTTGTGAGCCCCTATTCTGGAGATCTGTCCACTTCAAAGTTTGCTGTTAAGAAGAGAAATAAAGTAGGCAAGAGATCCTAACCTGCATGATGTATGCTTTAACTTCTCCATGGGAAAATAAAAAGGACTAATGAACGGGTTTTCCTTCTCATATCACTTAAAAACTCTATATTTAATATTATTTTCTCATTGTAACTTAGTAAGAGTAACTGTAGTGAGATAAAAGTACAGTTGTGACCTTTAAGGTTTTATTTCATAAAAATCAATGTGTTGCTAACCAATTCATCAGATTAAAGGAAATCCAATGTTCCGGGAAAAATCCTTGATGTTATTACCAGCAGCACATGCACCACCTTCCATTATGTTTCAAGGCAGTTTTCTCTCCAAGTTCAGCAGAAACGAGGACCACACACACTGTACTAATCACAATGGTTGGACCTTGGCTTTGGCAAAACTCCAGACTTGTTCTTGAGCCAAAGTGTGACTCTCTGTGCACAGTTTTACAGTCAGTTCTTTGAGACACCTTAGCACCCTTACAAAACTTCAGATCTGTTCTTTTATTCTTCAGAAAGTCTATCCAAAACGTCCTGAGTTCTAGAGTTTTGCCTGAAAGGGAAATTTCCCCATTTGTTTGGGGTACAGATGAGTTGGTAGTGATCTAAGCATCCTGACTTTCAATCCTATACACTAATCTCTATTATTTAAACTAATGAAAGTAGAAAAACTTTAAATGAGAAGTAGCAGGTGGTGGCTGTTGCTGGGTTCAGCCATCAGAAAGTGACTTGACTGCTTGCAGTGGATCTACAAGTCGCATATTTTGAATATCCTGTGGTAGGTTGTGATTGCAAAATCATGAGGGCTTTCCTGTGAAAAGGTATTTTTATAACAGCTACTCATAATCTGAATAATTTTCTTTCAAATGTGACACATCCTTAGCAGAAAATTCCCATTATGTGTCACCTAATCAGGTTGAATTGCTGATACTGCTTCAGTGCTGCTGCTTCATTGTATCTCATTTGTCTGTTTGGTTTGCTAGAAGTTCAAGCAGATAAAACCATTAAGCTATTGCAGTCCGACTACCAGCAGAGCTACAGCTCTACCTTCACGTTGACAAGGTTATTTGTAGAACAGCAAGGCTCATTTTCTTTGACCACCTGTCATGTCCATTCATCATACGGCCATTGTGTATGAACCATCCAATTTGTGCTTTCTGGTAACAGTCTAAACAGCATTTGTGAGTAAAAATGTGAGCATTTGTGATCTGAAATCTACTTCAAAAACCTACTTAGTGCCATTGTGATGGATGGTGCACTTTACTACTTCTCTATATTTCATCGGGCTGTGAAAAGGTGACACTGTTTACCCATCACGGTGACAGGCAGGGCAGCTTACAGTTCTGGAGAGGGCTGTCTAGTCAGTTTTGAAATAGATATTGCAGCAGTTATGTAAATAATATCTCATAGGCTAGGTCAGTCTAAGGCAAGAATGACATACATGAAATATATTTTTATTAAAACTTAAATATCAGCCACCTTTTATAGAGTTTAAACCTTTTGTCTGCTTGATGAAAACAGGAAAGCTGTTCTGGCCAACAGAGTGCACATATAAATGGAAATTACATTGCATCAAATTTATGCATTAAAGCAAAATGCATTGTCAAATGGTATGTAGCCAGTCTGAGTGTAGTGTGGTGAATCCGAATGTGCCGCTCCCTGCCTCCTCAGTGTGTGGTGATCCAGGAGCTGTGTCTGTGTGTGCTGTCACTGGTGGAGGGATGAACTGGGGAACCATCAGTGAGAGATGATGATAGGAGGGTGTGAACCCCCAGAGATCTGGTGTCCCTGTTCAGCACCCGGCGGGTAAGTGGTGTCAAGGTCAGTACACCTGTAGCCCATCTGTTGACACACACGTGGTGGTGATCCCCAGAGTGCAGTGAAAGATAAAGAAGGGTATGTTTTGGCTGGCAGTGCAGCAGGAGGCTGGGTGGTACTTGGGGCATCTGGTTTAAATCAGGCCCACTGAGTGCAGTCAACTTTAGGATGAAACATGTTCAGTTTTGGTGTTCAAAGTTTGTCTGCTCTGTCCCCTGTTTCTTTAGCAGCTGTAGAGACAGTCTAAGCAGAGGTAATGGTTGATGTGTTCGGACAGCATCAAGGACAGACTAATTAAAGCAAAGTGAAGAATGTGTTTGCTTTATATTCCTGCATTTTATGAAATTATGTTTGTGTGACCTGAAGTTTTTCTTGACTTCCTTTCACCTTAAATTTATTCACTCTCTTTTTGTGGAAGTGTTAAGGAACTTTTGAAAATCCTAAGTCTACTTTAATACTTTAACTCAGATATTTAATGTCCTCTGTTATATGGCATAATCTCATACTACACTACACTCTCATACTACACTACACTGCCTCTTACTGGAATAACTGCTGCCAAATCCCTGTTGGTTCCTTTGCTACTTCTCTGTGCTTTCTTCTTTTTATTTCCTCATGGATGCTTTCAGCAAACCTAGCAAAAACATCTCTTTTCTTTCCTGGACCTCATACACTGAAAGGATGATGTTGGTTTAGGAACCAGAAGAGGACGCAAGAAAAGTACAAGTACTGGCATGTTCTTAAAATGGGAATGCATATGCAGGTGGGGTTTGATGGTTTCATGGACAGAAATGAATAGTGCCCATCTCTGAGGCAGTTCTCCCAATACCCAAATATGTCTCTTTAGTACCTTGGCCCCTGCTCTGCCCATTTCCCTGCTCAGACTTCTCTACTGTGTCACCTTCCTTCCCTGTTGGCATCCATGTTCCCTGTTTCTACCAATTCTCTGTTTGCAGTGTCTGATATGAGGCGTTTCTGCTCCCAACTCAACCAGTGGTATCTTTGATTAGTTTTGGAGGGGCATCAGGGAGCAGACAAGTGAGAATTCCGATTCTTTTCCTCTATCTACAATATGCAGAAGAGATTCTCTACATCTACTGATCGCGTATCATCCTGCTCCGATTCATTTGTTTTGGTGACCTTTTCTCAGCTAAATGAGAACCCACCACAGAGATTAATGCAACCTGAAGCCATATGGGAAGTACAAGCCCGTCTGTTAAGCTCACTCAGTGATCTTCCCACCATTCTTCAGTCTTGGCAAGTTGGAATAAGGGAAGCAGGATTCAGGTTGCTGTCAGATCCTCTCTCACAAGGAGGGGGTCTTGGTCACTTCTTACCGGATACCCCATCTTCTTATGGCTGTGTTGAGATGTCTCTTTCTCCCCATCATCCTCTTCTTTCTCAGGTCCATCACTCTGCAGGAACATGGGAGTCTTACTCTCCTCTACTGCATGTCCCTCTAAACTTTCCCACTCCTTCCAGGCTCCGCACTTGTGTGTCCTGCAGTCCCTTCCCCTCTACGATCAGGTTCACAGTTCTGCAACCCTGTTTCCTGGCAGTACTGTCAGCTCTCTGTATTTCCAGCTCTGCACCAAAATGTCTGGAGTTCTTCTGGAGGGGACAATGCTTCGGGAAGTCCTTGACCCAACAGCTTGCTTTCATTTGATTCGGTTTCAT